CCACCCAGTGTGACGTGGATGAACGACTGAAGCCCCAGGCTCCTCCAACAGAGCAACAGGAATATATACAGGACATGGAACAGATACAACTAGAGTTTAGAGAGTTAGTTAAAAACGAAGTATGTGAAAAATATTTAGTTTTTCAGTTGAGCCGTACTTTTTGTTTGGTGTAAATGTCTCCCGGCATGCCCAGCTCCTTTCCGGCTGTCTGACATCACTGTCACGTCTCTAAATGTTGTGGATATGGATACAAGATGGCCTCGTGGTCATTTCCTCCCGCGAATCCAGAGAGGAATCTGAAAACATTTCTAGTGCAAGAGAATGTTTTGAGATGTGCAAGTAAATACAAATACAATACAAAGAGTGCAAGAAGAGTCAAGTAAATGGAATATGATATAAACAAATACAATAAATATAAATAAAAATAATAAATAAATATAAATAAATATGATAAATAATTATAAAAATAATAATAAAAAAATATAATAATAATAATATAATAAAAATAATAAATAAATATGATAAATAATTATAAAATAATATATAATAATAATAATATAGTAATAATAAAAATAATAAATAAATATGATAAATAATTAGAAAGACGCAAACAGATGAATGTAATGGATGTTCTTTACAGAGTTCAGGTGTTTAATGAGCGTATGGCCTGTGGGATGAAACTGTCTGGTGGTTTTAGTCCTGATGCGACGGAACAGTTTGTTTCGGGGTGATTTGCATCTAAAGGCCCAGACACACCAAACTGACACCAAAGAACACGTCCCGACGGACCGACTGTTGCATCGCCTCACGTCTCTGCGTCCAACAGTCGCACTGGAACACACCGCAAAGACTTCAGCCGACGGCCAAGAAGCACGTAGGAACTGCGCATGCGTGAGTGGCAATAACTCTCCTCACCAGCAGGCGGCGGTAATAATAATAATAATTCCTTACATTTATTATAGCGCTTTTCCAGATGCTCAAAGCGCTTTACAAATACACATTACACATATCATACATGCAATGGTCATGTACTGTGGACAATACCCACAGGAGCAAGTTCAGGTGAAGTGTCTTGCCCAAGGACACACCGGCTTTACAGACGCAGCAGCGGCGGGTTTCACCCCTTGATCTGATGATCATTGCACAGCGCACTGCGCCACACCGTAGTAGTGGTAGTGTGTATTCGTCATTCAAAAGAGGCAACCGGAAGGCAGACTGCGTGTGTATACAAACTTCAGCTCTCTGAAGCAGAAATAAACTATTTAAGCATAGTGGCTGGCAACCTTAAAGTACTGCTGCCACCACATTCCATGCATCAGTAATTATAATCCAAGATTATATTAATATACGACATCATAACACTGACAGGCAGCTGAACAGCCAATCGGAGTGATTTCTTTTGCCGACAGCTCGAATCGGGGGCGGAAGGTGTCGGCACGTCCGAAAAGACACGACGGTGCGGGCCACACCAATCTGAGTAGAGCGACAGGACGCTCGTCGACGGCCAGACATCTATCCACGGCCGAAACCGGCTCGGTGTGTCCGGGCCTTAAGAGTGTGATTTAAGGAGTCGCTTCTCACCCTCTGTCTTTCCTTTCTTTATCTGCAGACACGTTGGAGCTGTTTTACAACGACCCCAACGGCACAAAGGTCCAGATCCTCCTGAACACCACGGGCATCGCCTGGTGGACGGACAAACACGTGAAGTTTGGAAACCCCGGAAGAAACAGCCCTAACCTCACCGCCGCTTTCCAAGGTTTCACTTCACTGCTTTATTATCACATCCACAGTTACAGTGAAGCCCCAGGCCCGAGCTGAAGAGAGACTTCAATGCTGTAATGCCACGGTCCTGTGTTTAGGGTCACTTACCTTTTGTCCGTGTCATTCCTCACTTTATATGTTGGATGGGAAGAAGTGATTTTAGCTTCAGGATGTCCGTCTGTAAAACTCCCAGCGTCTGCTACCCTCTGCCTTTATGATATATATCTCTATTTACACTGAACAAAAACCACCAGCCTCACGGCCCGTCTACACTACAGGCATCGAAAAATGCTTTCAACGCTTCGCCCATTCATTTGAATGGGGTGACGTAGAAGATTTTTAAACTTCGCCGAACTGCATTGTGGGGAGCATGGCATGGCTTTGCAAGCATCACGAGCATCTATCGGCATCAAAAGTTGAACAATGTTCAACTTTTGAGGCTCGATGCTTGGCATCAGCCAATCAAATCCCGCGTATGCAAATCTGCCAGTACAAGCGCTAGCCAATCAAACCGCGTGTATGCTGGGAGAGACTACGCAGGTCATTTCCTCATATTCCAAAAAATGGAGGGAAAATTCATTATAGCGGTAGTGAATCACCCGGTGCTGTATGATCAGTCTCTGTTCATCTACCGGGATACAAACCGGAGGAGCGAGGCATGGAGGGAGGTGGCAGAGACAGTGGGTGAAACTGGTAGGTTTTCGCCTGTTTGGGGATTTTATATCCAGTTTACTTCGTTTTAACATTGCTATTGCTTTGTATGTCGGGGGCGGGAGATTCATGTGATTGGTTGTTAGTCGCCTTGGGTGCGAGAAATCGCCAAGCCTCAGACACGCCCAGCTTCAAGATTTTTTTATGCCTGTAGTGTAGACGGGCTGTAAGGCACACCTGCTGTGCTGTCTGACACCTGCGAGGTGGATATTTCGGCGAAGAAGAGCTCATTAACACAGATTTGTGAACAATACTGGAGAGAAATAGGCCTTTTGTGTACATAGAAAAAGTATTGGATTTTTTTTTCAGCTCGTGAATAATGGGAGCAAAACAACTATAATTTCTGCGTTGTTTTCTCTCCTCTTCAGGAACAACGAAGCCGATAAACTGGCGTCGGCCGGTCTTCGATCTGGACGCCGACGAGGCGAACAACGGCTTCATCAACGAGGACTTCATCGTGTGGATGAGGACGGCCGCGCTGCCCACGTTCAGGAAACTTTACCGCATCATCAACAAGAAGAGCGGCATGGTGCCCACGCTGCCCCGAGGGAACTACTCTCTGGAGGTCGTCTACAGTATCCTTCAAAACACTCGAGATTCAAGATGCTTCTATTGTCGTTTGTTCATAGCTACAGTGTAGATATGACAATGAAAAACGTAATCTTTTTTTTATGAATCTGTTTTTCCATTGTGTTTATTTATTGTGTTCCTTTCTGTTGTCTTCCTATTAAGTGTTAATGATGATGTAAAGCACTTTGAATGGCCTCTGTGGCTGAAAATGGGCTTTATAAATAACCGTACCTTAGAGATGTCCCGTACATCACGTACAATGTGTTGGAGCGCTAGCCAATAGGAGCTCTAGTCAATAGGAGCTCTAGTCAATAGGAGCTCTAGCCAATAGGAGCTCTAGTCAATAGGAGCGCTAGTCAATAGGAGCTCTAGCCAATAGGAGCTCTAGTCAATAGGAGCTCTAGCCAATAGGAGCTCTAGTCAATAGGAGCTCTAGTCAATAGGAGCGCTAGTCAATAGGAGCTCTAGCCAATAGGAGCTCTAGTCAATAGGAGCTCTAGCCAATAGGAGCTCTAGTCAATAGGAGCTCTAGCCAATAGGAGCTCTAGTCAATAGGAGCTCTAGTCAATAGGAGCGCTAGTCAATAGGAGCTCTAGTCAATAGGAGCTCTAGTCAATAGGAGCTCTAGTCAATAGGAGCTCTAGTCAATAGGAGCTCTAGCCAATAGGAGCTCTAGTCAATAGGAGCTCTAGTAGCTCTAGCCAATAGGAGCTCTAGCCAATAGGAGCTCTAGTCAATAGGAGCGCTAGTCAATAGGAGCTCTAGTCAATAGGAGCTCTAGTCAATAGGAGCTCTAGTCAATAGGAGCGCTAGTCAATAGGAGCTCTAGTCAATAGGAGCTCTAGTCAATAGGAGCTCTAGTCAATAGGAGCTCTAGTCAATAGGAGCTCTAGTCAATAGGAGCTCTAGTCAATAGGAGCTCTAGCCAATAGGAGCTCTAGTCAATAGGAGCTCTAGTAGCTCTAGCCAATAGGAGCTCTAGCCAATAGGAGCTCTAGCCAATAGGAGCTCTAGCCAATAGGAGCTCTAGCCAATAGGAGCTCTAGTCAATAGGAGCTCTAGTCAATAGGAGCTCTAGCCAATAGGAGCTCTAGTCAATAGGAGCGCTAGTCAATAGGAGCTCTAGTAGCTCTAGCCAATAGGAGCTCTAGCCAATAGGAGCTCTAGCCAATAGGAGCTCTAGTCAATAGGAGCGCTAGTCAATAGGAGCTCTAGTCAATAGGAGCTCTAGCCAATAGGAGCTCTAGCCAATAGGAGCTCTAGTCAATAGGAGCTCTAGCCAATAGGAGCTCTAGTCAATAGGAGCTCTAGTCAATAGGAGCTCTAGCCAATAGGAGCTCTAGTCAATAGGAGCTCTAGTAGCTCTAGCCAATAGGAGCTCTAGCCAATAGGAGCTCTAGCCAATAGGAGCTCTAGCCAATAGGAGCTCTAGTCAATAGGAGCTCTAGCCAATAGGAGCTCTAGCCAATAGGAGCTCTAGTCAATAGGAGCTCTAGTAGCTCTAGCCAATAGGAGCTCTAGTCAATAGGAGCTCTAGTCAATAGGAGCTCTAGTCAATAGGAGCTCTAGCCAATAGGAGCTCTAGCCAATAGGAGCTCTAGTCAATAGGAGCTCTAGCCAATAGGAGCTCTAGTCAATAGGAGCTCTAGTAGCTCTAGCCAATAGGAGCTCTAGTCAATAGGAGCTCTAGTCAATAGGAGCTCTAGTCAATAGGAGCTCTAGCCAATAGGAGCTCTAGTCAATAGGAGCTCTAGTCAATAGGAGCTCTAGTCAATAGGAGCTCTAGTCAATAGGAGCTCTAGTCAATAGGAGCTCTAGCCAATAGGAGCTCTAGTCAATAGGAGCTCTAGTAGCTCTAGCCAATAGGAGCTCTAGCCAATAGGAGCTCTAGCCAATAGGAGCTCTAGCCAATAGGAGCTCTAGCCAATAGGAGCTCTAGTCAATAGGAGCGCTAGCCAATAGGAGCGCTAGTATTCCACATTGATGTCACTATGTAACTTCTGAGTTAATAAAAAAAAAAGTTTTTAGCTACTTTCATTTCGCTTCAAAATAATACTACCACTAAACTAATTTAAAAAAAATGTGCACCATATTTTTTAAATGTTTGCAGACATCAGTTGATCGACAGGCTGAGTTTGACCTCAGAAGTCATTGGATTTTTGTATAGCGCTCTTGCTCAAAGACGCTTTGCATAAAATCAGAAACAGTAGTCCTAATCCAAGTGCGAGTAAAATGTGGGGCTGTTGATCAGAGTTTGGAAGCTATAGAGAATAAGAGAGATTTGACACACACTCTTTAACACGTCACCTCAGATTATCCCGTGCGCAGCTTCGAGGGCAGGAAGCGGATGATTCTGAGCACCATTTCCTGGATGGGGGGGAAAAACCCCTTTTTGGGCATCGCCTACATCACCGTGGGCTCCGTGTGCTTCTTCCTGGGCGTCGTGCTGCTGCTCATCCACCACAAGTGTGGAAACAGAAACAACAACGCTGACATTTCCAACTGAGCTGCTCACCTGTCCGGGTAAACCTCACATAATATAGAATCTAATTCGGCAGGAAAATTAGAGTTTAAAACGGCTCGATTCTGGCTGATTGTTTGCCAAAGTTAATGAGAAAACTGCCCGACATGTGCCCACGCTTTTACAAACTTGGTAACTCAAATCCATCTAATTCAGCAGAAGTATAATTGGGTTTTAGAGCTTAAGATAGCTTGATTTTGGCTGATTATCTGCCCAAAAAATGAAAAAACTGCCAGAAATGTGCCGTCGTTTAAAAGCTTTTAAAAACCTCCGAACTCAAATCCATCTAATTCACATTTTAGAGTTAAAAACGGCTTCATTCTGGCTGTTTGCCAAAGTGAATAAGACAACAACCCGAAATGTGCCAACGTTTACGAGCTTTTACAAATTTCGTATCCATCTAATTCAGCAGAAACCTTTGCTGATTGTTTGCCAAAGTGAATGAGAAAACAGCCTGAAATGTGCCAAAGCTTTTACAAACTTGGGAACTGAAATTCATCGAATTCAGCAGAAGGAAAATTGGGTTTTAGAGCTTAAAATGTCTTGACTTTTGCTGATTATTTGCCGAAGTGAATAAGAAAACAGCCCGAAATGTGCCGTCATTTAACAAATGTCCGAACTCAAATCACCCAGATGAACTGCCTTAGAATAAAGACATGTACTCAAAGGTCCTAAACACATCAGAAAAAGTAGGAAATGTATAATAAATAAGGATGGGAATATGACAAATTGAGGATCATTACTGTAAAAAAACTTGAAGCCATGTGCTCCGTTTCTTCTGGAACAGTGTTGGGAGTATTTACGATTCATGGACGAGTTTAGATTCTACAACACTCAGAAATGATATTATAATACCCCACTCTTATGCCATATTTACACTGACACAGTAACGAGTCACTACACTGACGGAGTAACGAGTCACTGACACAGTAACGAGTCACTACACTGACGAGTAACGAGTAACTGACAGAGTAACGAGTCACTACCCTGACAGAGTAACGAGTCACTACACTGACGAGTAACGAGTCACTGACGGAGTAACGAGTCACTACACTGACACAGTAACGAGTCACTACACTTACGAGTAACGAGTAACTACACAGACGGAGTAACGAGTCACTACACTGACGGAGTAACGAGTCACTACACTGACGAGTAACTGACGAGTAACGACACAGTAACGAGTCACTACACTGACGGAGTAACGAGTCACTACACTGACGAGTAACGACACAGTAACGAGTCACTACACCGACACAGTAACGAGTCACTACACTGACGGAGTAACGAGTCACTGACACAGTAACGAGTCACTACACTGACACAGTAACGAGTCACTACACTGACACAGTAACGAGTCACTACACTGACGAGTAACGAGTCACTACACTGACGAGTAACGAGTAACTGACAGAGTAACGAGTCACTACCCTGACAGAGTAACGAGTCACTACCCTGACAGAGTAACGAGTCACTACACTGACGAGTAACGAGTCACTGACGGAGTAACGAGTCACTACACTGACACAGTAACGAGTCACTACACTGACGAGTAACGAGTAACTACACAGACGGAGTAACGAGTCACTACACTGACGGAGTAACGAGTCACTACACTGACGAGTAACTGACGAGTAACGACACAGTAACGAGTCACTACACTGACGGAGTAACGAGTCACTACACTGACGAGTAACGACACAGTAACGAGTCACTACACCGACACAGTAACGAGTCACTACACTGACGGAGTAACGAGTCACTGACACAGTAACGAGTCACTACACTGACACAGTAACGAGTCACTACACTGACACAGTAACGAGTCACTACACTGACGAGTAACGAGTAACTGACAGAGTAACGAGTCACTACCCTGACAGAGTAACGAGTCACTACACTGACGAGTAACGAGTCACTGACGAGTAACGAGTCACTGACGGAGTAACGAGTCACTACACTGACACAGTAACGAGTCACTACACTGACGAGTAACGAGTAACTACACAGACGGAGTAACGAGTCACTACACTGACGGAGTAACGAGTCACTACACTGACGAGTAACTGACGAGTAACGACACAGTAACGAGTCACTACACTGACGGAGTAACGAGTCACTACACTGACGAGTAACTGACGAGTAACGACACAGTAACGAGGCACTACACCGACACAGTAACGAGTCACTACACTGACGGAGTAACAAGTCACTGACAGAGTAACGAGTCACTGACACAGTAACGAGTCACTACACCGACACAGTAACGAGTCACTACACTGACGGAGTAACGAGTCACTGACAGAGTAACGAGTCACTGACAGAGTAACGAGTCACTGACGGAGTAACGAGTCACTGACACAGTAACGAGTCACTACACTGACACAGTAACGAGTCACTACACTAACGAGTAACTGACAGAGTAACGAGTCACTACCCTGACAGAGTAACGAGTCACTACACAGACGGAGTAACGTGTCACTACACCGACACAGTAAGGAGTCACTACACTGACGGAGTAACGAGTCACTGACAGAGTAACGAGTCACTACACTGATGGAGTAACGAGTCACTGACAGAGTAACGAGTAACTAACGGAGTAACGAGTCACTACACTGACAGAGTAACGAGTCACTGACGGAGTAACGAGTCACTGACACAGTAACGAGTCACTACACTGACACAGTAACGAGTCACTACACTAACGAGTAACTGACAGAGTAACGAGTCACTACACAGACGGAGTAACGTGTCACTACACAGACACAGTAAGGAGTCACTACACTGACGGAGTAACGAGTCACTGACAGAGTAACGATTCACTACCCTGACTGAGTAACGAGTCACTACCCTGACGGAGTAACGAGTCACTACACAGACAGAGTAACGAGTCACTGACAGAGTAACGATTCACTACCCTGACTGAGTAACGAGTCACTACCCTGACGGAGTAACGAGTCACTGACAGAGTAACGAGTCACTACACCGACACAGTAACGAGTCACTACACCGACACAGTAACAAGTCACTACACCGACACAGTAACGAGTCACTACACTGACAGATGGAGTAACGAGTCACTACCCTGACAGAGTAACGAGTCACTGACAGAGTAACGAGTCACTACACCGACACAGTAACGAGTCACTCCACTTTCCAGCGTTTTAAAGGTGAATATCTGCTGTTCTTTCTGCCTTCTATGAGAGTGAATAAAGCAGATTTAGATTATTGATCAGACTGTACTGAACACTGAGAGATGTCAACTTGATTTCTGGGTTTCATAACTATTTATGAACCAAACAGGAATATAATCATCTGTTCAAACGAGAAGATATATATTGGAAAAGTAATGATAAAGGAAAAGACAACTCTAGAAAGTAAATGGAGTATTGCTTTAAAAAGACAGCTTTCTGTAAGAGTCTTGAAATTGAAACCAAAACAACGAAAGGAAACATCCCTCTCTCTCTGATCTCTAACATCTCTCATCTCCATGCAGGTGCAGTTAAAGTGAGCTGGAGTGTAGTCCTGTTGCATGCTGGGAAACTGAGTTCTTCATGTGAGCCCTGAGCTGTCCGAGCGGCTCTTCTTTGTGCCTCGTCTCGTCTGTGAAGCCTTCCCTTTCAAACAAAAAAAATCATGCTTTTTAAAAAAGTGTCGCGCACGTCAGAGGGAACACAACATGGCGCTAACATGACTATTTGTTTGTATTTATTTATAAGAGATTCTTGCATTGTGAAGCCTGGTATTTGCACGCCACACCTCGGGGGGGGAGATTGTTTGAACTGTACAAAGCAAGTGTGTAAATCCAATGCAGAGACATGCACATCGTGGCTTTGTTCATCGTGCTTTAGATGTGATATTAACACAGAGCCAGCATGATGGAGCCGGGACGCAGTGCATGTGTTGTATGTTACATTACATGTTGTTAGACGTTTGCACAGTATGTGTACGTGTTGTACTCCACATTTAAAATACTGACAGTAACTTTAATGCACATAAGTACCTTTTCCACCTGAATCCTGCCATGTTCCGCACAAGCTGAGAATAATCAAATAGACGCTGCATGTTGAAAATGTGCCGAGTTAAAATGTGTTTTTATTTTGGTTTTAATACGTTTCATCCATGACATTTCTTTTGATACTCCATTGGTGTTGTGTTGTTGCTTTAAAATAATAAAAAGGTCGATTTAATTGTTTCTCTGACTGATTCATTGTTTCTCGCTTGATGCAGTGACCGACACGTAGCACAAAGAGAAGAAGAAGTACTTTATTGATTGAAAGTTACGGCCACAGCTTCCACACAGCTGTAGTGGCTCGCGCTGAGACCCGCAACATAGAAATAGACGAAACAACCAGAAGAGTTAACAAGTACCTTTTACTTTTATTGAGCTGTCTTTCTTTAAACAAGCCAATCTCAAATGAAAACAGTCTGGAGGACTGGCCAAAAAGAACAACAGGGTGGAGGGAGCCTGAACCAGCCACACCATGGGCCGTAGGACCCAGAGCCCCTCCCCCTACCTAAAAGACACACACACACGGACACAAAGACACACACGCACACACACAAAGACACACACACACAAAGACACACACAAGGACACAAAGACACACACACAAAGACACACATGCACACAAAGACACATACGCACACAGACACACACACAAGGACACAAAGACACACACACAAAGACACACATGCACACAAAGACACATACGCACACAGACACACACACAAGGACACAAAGACACACACACAAAGACACACAGACACACACACAAGGACACAAAGACACACAGACACACACAAAGACACACAGACACACACACAAGGACACAAAGACACACACAAAGACACAGAGACACATACACATACTAGGGAAATGTTTACTCAGAATTGTTCTTCCACACTTGCCCCTGCTAACATCTCAGTAAATGAGCTAGTAGATCATTTTAATTCAAAAATTAAAAATGTTATAGATGCCATTGCTCCAACTAAGGTAAAGGAAGTGTCTGGGAAGAAAATATCTCCATGGAGAAAGGCCATGAGCGTGAAAACAGAAAAAAGAGAATGTCGAAAAGCTGAACGCAGGTGGTGAAAAACAAATCTCCAGGTTCACTTTGAAATCTATAAAGAGAGACTTGGCCTTTATAATTTGGAATTGAAAAACGCACGACAATCAAGGCACGTGCCTTGTTTGCTACCGTCGACAGACTAACTAACCCCCCAGTGTCAGTAGCCTCTGAATTTCTATCCACCAGGGCGTGCAATGATGTTGCCTCCTTCACTGACAAAATTCAGAACATCAGACAAGCAGTCAGTGCCTCTGCATCAGGAACAGTAAATGTGTTGTCCCTATCTCCACTTAACATCAATTCAGACATCCATGACACAATTCCATCAGATTAATGATAAAAACCTAGAGGACATTATACAACTTCTGAAATCCTCCTCCTGCTGCCTTGATATTATTCCAACAGGATTTTTTAAAGATGTTTGCCTTGCATGGCCTCAGATCTACTTCATATAGTAAACAAGTCTCTTCACTCAGGTATTTTTCCACAGGCCCTGAAAACTGCAGTCATTAAACCGCTCTTAAAAAAGAATAATCTAGATGCTTCAGTAATGAACAATTACAGGCCCATATCAAACCTGCCATTTCTAGGTAAGATCATTGAAAAAGTTGTTTTTCAACAGTTGAGTAATTTCTTGCATTTAAATAACTGTTTTGATGTGTTCCAGTCAGGCTTTCGTCCAAACCACAGCACTGAGACTGCTCTTGTAAAGGTCTTTAATGACATCCACTTAAACACAGACAGTGGCAGAACTTCAGTGTTAGTATTATTAGATCTCAGTGCTGCGTTTGACACTGTTGACCACAGCATATTACTAGACCGACTGGAGAACTGGGTGGGACTTTCGGAAACAGTTCTAAATTGGTTTGAATCCTACTTAAAGGACAGAAACAACTTTGTTTCTATAGGTAAATACACATCTGAGTTGACAAATATGACATGTGGGGTTCCTCAAGGCTCCATCTTGGGGCCTCTTCTCTTTAACATCTACATGCTACCACTGGCTCAGATAATGAAGAACAACAAAATAAGTTACCATAGCTATGCAGATGACACACAAATGTACATAACAATTTCACCAGGAGACTATGCTCCAGTTCAAACACTGAGTAAGTGCATTGAACAAATCAATGACTGGATGTGTCAGAACTTTCTCCAATTAAACAAAGATAAAACTGAGGTAATGGTTTTTGGAGCCAAGTCAGAACGTATAAAAGTTAGCGCTGAGCTTCAGTCTGCAATGTTCAAAACAACAGATAGAGCCAGAAATCTAGGTGTAGTCATGGACTCTGACCTGAGTTTCAACAGTCACATTAAAACAGTTACTAAATCAGCCTACTATCACCTAAAGAACATATCTAGGATTAAAAGACTAATGTCACAGCAGGATTTGGAAAAACTTGTCCATGCTTTTATCTTCAGTAGACTCGACTACTGCAATGGTGTCTTCACAGGTCTCACTAAAAAATCTATTAGGAAGCTGCAGCTGATTCAGAACGCCGCTGCTCGAGTCCTCACTAACACTAAGAAAGTGGATCACATCACTCCTGTTCTGAAGTCTTTACACTGGCTTCATGTGTGTCAAAGAATAGATTTCTAAATACTGCTGCTGGTTTATAAAGCACTGAATGGTTTAGGCCCAGGATACATTTCCGACCTCCTGCTAAATGATGAAGCATCCAGATCTCTCAGGTCTTCAGGGACTGGTCAGCTTTCTGTCCCCAGAGTCAGAACTAAACATGGAGAAGCAGCGTTCAGTTATTATGCTCCAAATATCTGGAACAAACTCCCAGAAACCTGCAGGTCCGCTGCAACTCTGACTACTTTTAAATCCAGCAAGAAGACTTTTCTTTTTGTCGCTGCTTTTAATTGAACTATTCATATCTTAGACTGCACTGTAACTTTTTATTCATGTACTTTTTCTTTTAATGTTTATTTTATTAGCTTTTCTTTTTAATGACTGATTTTTTTTTAATGTCTTTCATTTTTTGTAAAGCACTTTGAATTGCCTTGTGTTGAAAAGTGCTATATAAATAAACTTGCCTTGCCTTGCCTTACACACACAGAGACACATACACACACACACACACACACACACACACACACAACACACACACACACACACACACACACACACACACTCACACACAGTTGTTACCAATTGTCATACATTGTTATACAGATCGTAGCTGACTGTAGAAGATAGTTTGGCACATGTTTACTACTGAATGTATAATAATGAATCCCTAATAAGAGTTCATAGTATATCTCGGTAGGTAAATAGAGCCTATGCTGAATAATGAGATGTTGTAAATGGGGGAAATAGATTGATTTATGGAGCTTTTTATTCTTCATTATTGATATATATTGACTGCTTTGGGTATTTTGTTTATGTTTTCATATGTATATCCTTATTGTAATCTATTTGTATTTACTTCTCCTTCATGTGCAATGTCTTACCTCTGCTGCTGTGACGGAAAACCATCTTTAATTTGGATCATTTTAGGATATCTTGTGTATTTTTTAATCTTTTATTTCGTTTTTTTTTACACCGGACCTTGGTCACTCGTGTGGGCGGGGCTTATCGACGGACGTTGGAATTCTCGCGTTGCTATTGGCCGAGCGCGAAAATTCAAATGTATTAGAAACGGCAACACGCCAGAGAAACAGACGATGCAAGTCTTCGGGAGAAATTGATGTTTTAAAGCTAAAAAACTACTACAATATAACATTCCGGACTTTGGGTTTAAACTGATTGCAGAATGGATACTCTTTCTTATATACAGTAAGTCAGCATTTGTTGTCTTTCGTTTCCCGGTATTAGCTTGATGCTAACGGCTAGCTCTCTGAATGTAATCAACGGATACAGCAGTGTTGTGAAGTAACTACGTACATTAACTTAAGTACAATTTAGAGGTACTTGTACTTTACTTGAGTATTTCAATGTCATGCTACCTTGTACTTATACTCCACTACATGTATTTAATCCCTTTAGTTACTTCACAGATCTGGATAAATGATGTGAAATCTAATCAAGTGTTGAATCAGACTTTAGTTCCACCTGGAGTAAATCCACCAGCTACAAAGTATACAAAGTACTTCAAACTAGCTGCACCTTCACCAGCTTTGAGAACACTTTCATGATCAATCATTATAAAACACATCATATATATTATTCTGAAATGGACCAATCTGCACAATGAATACTTTTACTGTCGCTACTTTCACTATATTTAGATGAGAATACTTTTCTACCTTCCCTTGAGGAACATTTTGAATGCAGGACTTTTACTGAAACAGAGTATTCCTACACTCTGGTACTTCTACTCAAGTATAAGATCTGAGTACTTCTACTTTTACTCAAGTACTGAGAGTACCCCCCCTGTTATAAAGTGAATCTCTGTTTGTGTCGCTGTTAATATCCCTCTCTTCCCTGGTTTAGGGTATTTGAGGAAAGCATGAGTTTGTATACCGGAGACGACCCTCTGGATCCTTGGGGCTCGTGAGTAATCTGAAGTTAGCATTAGCTAATGCTTTTACATTTCAATCAGAATATAAGATACAAATATCCATCTATCTTCCCTCCTTGTGTACTTCCCTCTATAGTGATATATTCTCTGTGTACTTCCCTCTATAGTGATATATTCTCTGTGTACTTCTCTCTCTAGTGATATCTCCTCTGTGTACTTCCCTCTATAGTGATATCTCCTCTGTACTTCCCTCTATAGTGATATCTCCTCTGTGTACTTCCCTCTATAGTGATATCTCCTCTGTGTACTTCTCTCTCTAGTGATATCTCCTCTGTACTTCCCTCTATAGTGATATATTCTCTGTGTACTTCTCTCTCTAGTGATATCTCCTCTATGTACTTCCCTCTATAGTGATATCTCCTCTGTGTACTTCTCTCTCTAGTGATATCTCCTCTGTGTACTTCCCTCTATAGTGATATATTCTCTGTGTACTTCCCTCTATAGTGATATATTCTCTGTGTACTTCTCTCTATAGTGATATATTCTCTGTACTTCCCTCTATAGTGATATATTCTCTGTGTACTTCTCTCTATAGTGATATCTCCTCTGTGTACTTCTCTCTGTAGTGATATCTCCTCTGTGTACTTCTCTCTGTAGTGATATCTCCTCTGTGTACTTCCCTCTATAGTGATATCTTCTCTGTGTACTTCTCTCTCTAGTGATATCTCCTCTGTGTACTTCTCTCTATAGTGATATATTCTCTGTGTACTTCTCTCTATAGTGATATCTCCTCTGTGTACTTCTCTCTATAGTGATATATTCTCTGTGTACTTCTCTCTCTAGTGATATCTCCTCTGTGTACTTCTCTCTATAGTGATATCTTCTCTGTGTACTTCTCTCTCTAGTGATATATTCTCTGTGTACTTCCCTCTATAGTGATATCTCCTCTGTGTACTTCTCTCTATAGTGATATATTCTCTGTGTACTTCTCTCTATAGTGATATATTCTCTGTGTACTTCCCTCTATAGTGATATCTCCTCTGTGTACTTCTCTCTATAGTGATATATTCTCTGTGTACTTCTCTCTATAGTGATATATTCTCTGTGTACTTCCCTCTATAGTGATATCTCCTCTGTGTACTTCTCTCTATAGTGATATCTCCTCTGTGTACTTCTCTCTATAGTGATATATTCTCTGTGTACTTCTCTCTCTAGTGATATATTCTCTGTGTACTTCCCTCTATAGTGATATCTCCTCTGTGTACTTCTCTCTCTAGTGATATCTCCTCTGTGTACTTCTCTCTATAGTGATATCTCCTCTGTGTACTTCTCTCTATAGTGATATATTCTCTGTGTACTTCTCTCTATAGTGATATATTCTCTGTGTACTTCCCTCTATAGTGATATCTCCTCTGTGTACTTCTCTCTCTAGTGATATCTCCTCTGTGTACTTCTCTCTATAGTGATATCTCCTCTGTGTACTTCCCTCTATAGTGATATATTCTCTGTGTACTTCTCTCTCTAGTGATATATTCTCTGTGTACTTCTCTCTATAGTGATATCTCCTCTGTGTACTTCTCTCTCTAGTGATATCTCCTCTGTGTACTTCTCTCTATAGTGATATCTTCTCTGTGTACTTCTCTCTATAGTGATATCTCCTCTGTGTACTTCTCTCTATAGTGATATCTCCTCTGTGTACTTCTCTCTATAGTGATATATTCTCTGTGTACTTCTCTCTATAGTGATATCTCCTCTGTGTACTTCTCTCTATAGTGATATCTCCTCTGTGTACTTCTCTCTATAGTGATATCTCCTCTGTGTACTTCTCTCTGTAGTGATATCTGCTCTGTGTACTTCTCTCTATAGTGATATCTCCTCTGTGTACTTCTCTCTCTAGTGATATCTCCTCTATGTACTTCTCTCTATAGTGATATATTCTCTGTGTACTTCTCTCTATAGTGATATCTCCTCTGTGTACTTCTCTCTATAGTGATATCTCCTCTGTGTACTTCTCTCTATAGTGATATCTCCTCTGTGTACTTCTCTCTGTAGTGATATCTGCTCTGTGTACTTCTCTCTATAGTGATATCTCCTCTGTGTACTTCTCTCTCTAGTGATATCTCCTCTGTGTACTTCTCTCTCTAGTGATATCTCCTCTGTGTACTTCTCTCTCTAGTGATATCTCCTCTGTGTACTTCTCTCTATAGTGATATCTCCTCTGTGTACTTCTCTCTGTAGTGATATCTCCTCTGTGTACTTCCCTCTATAGTGATATCTCCTCTGTGTAATTCTCTCTGTAGTGATATCTCCTCTGTGTACTTCTCTCTATAGTGATATCTCCTCTGTGTACTTCTCTCTATAGTGATATCTGCTCTGTGTACTTCTCTCTATAGTGATATCTGCTCTGTGTACTTCTCTCTATCGTGATATCTCCTCTGTGTACTTCTCTCTCCAGTGATATCTGCTCTGTGTACTTCTCTCTATCGTGATATCTCCTCTGTGTACTTCTCTCTCCAGTGATATCTCCTCTGTGTACTTCTCTCTATAGTGATATCTCCTCTGTGTACTTCTCTCTATCGTGATATCTGCTCTGTGTACTTCTCTCTATAGTGATATCTCCTCTGTGTACTTCTCTCTATCGTGATATCTGCTCTGTGTACTTCTCTCTATAGTGATATCTGCTCTGTGTACTTCTCTCTATAGTGATATCTGCTCTGTGTACTTCTCTCTATCGTGATATTCTCTCTTCGTGATATCTTCCTCTTCTTCCAGTGATATATTCTCTGTGTACTTCTCTCTCTAGTGATATATTCTCTGTGTACTTCCCTCTATAGTGATATCTCCTCTGTGTACTTCTCTCTCTAGTGATATCTCCTCTGTGTACTTCTCTCTATAGTGATATCTCCTCTGTGTACTTCTCTCTATAGTGATATATTCTCTGTGTACTTCTCTCTATAGTGATATCTCCTCTGTGTACTTCTCTCTGTAGTGATATCTCCTCTGTGTACTTCTCTCTCCAGTGATATCTCCTCTGTGTACTTCTCTCTCCAGTGATATCTCCTCTGTGTACTTCTCTCTGTAGTGATATCTCCTCTGTGTACTTCTCTCTCCAGTGATATCTCCTCTGTGTACTTCTCTCTGTAGTGATATCTCCTCTGTGTACTTCTCTCTGTAGTGATATCTCCTCTGTGTACTTCTCTCTCCAGTGATATCTGCTCTGTGTACTTCTCTCTGTAGTGATATCTGCTCTGTGTACTTCTCTCTATAGTGATATCTCCTCTGTGTACTTCTCTCTATAGTGATATCTCCTCTGTGTACTTCTCTCTATAGTGATATCTCCTCTGTGTACTTCTCTCTGTAGTGATATCTCCTCTGTGTACTTCTCTCTCCAGTGATATCTCCTCTGTGTACTTCTCTCTATAGTGATATCTCCTCTGTGTACTTCTCTCTGTAGTGATATCTCCTCTGTGTACTTCTCTCTATAGTGATATCTCCTCTGTGTACTTCTCTCTATAGTGATATCTCCTCTGTGTACTTCTCTCTCCAGTGATATCTCCTCTGTGTACTTCTCTCTCCAGTGATATCTCCTCTGTGTACTTCTCTCTATAGTGATATCTCCTCTGTGTACTTCTCTCTATAGTGATATCTCCTCTGTGTACTTCTCTCTCCAGTGATATCTCCTCTGTGTACTTCTCTCTCCAGTGATATCTCCTCTGTGTACTTCTCTCTGTAGTGATATCTGCTCTTTATATTGATGTGTTCTCTGTGTTCAGGTTCGTGATGTACTTGGAGTCCCAGGATGGAGGCTGTGAACTGCCTCAGGCTCTGGACCGTCTGGTGCAGGAATTTCTGAACGTGGAGAAATACGCAAATGACATCCGATATGTGAACTACTGCATCAGATGTGTGAGTGTCTCTGGGATATCACCTATTATTTTGATAATCGTTAAAGTTCAGGCAAGAGATATGAAAGAAAAACAGACGTCTCAAAGATCAACATTTCCTGTTTATCACGGTAAAGTAAACATGTCGGGGGTTTTTCAGTGAAGACGTATAAACATGTCACATTTGACTTTGATAACATTGTGACGGTATTTTTTAATATTTTCTCATAAATGAAAATTAAGCGAAAGATAAATCAATTTAAAAAAACAATTAGTAACTACCACAGTTTGCTGTTATTCAGGCTTATAGAAAAGCACATATTTGCATAATTCATCTACCGTTTAAAGTTCATTTTCCTGCCAAACTGTAAAATATAATGCTGTTTCCTGACTTTTTAACCACCTCACGCTCTGAGAAACGGTGGCAGCTCCATTATACATCCGTAATACTTCTACATTTTGTTATGCAGACTAACACTAGCGTTTCCTTCACTGTCCCTCTGTGTTTCAGGCAAGCTTTTACCCGGAGCCGGTGGCCGTGTACAATCACGTTTTCAGTAAAGGAGTCGGCACGAGGACGGCGGCACTTTACGTTTCCTGGGCGAAACAGTTTGAGCAGAACGGGAAGATCGAACAGGCCGAGGCTGTTTTCCAGAGAGCTTTAGAGAACGAAGCTCAGCCCGGAGACACCGTGCTCAACGAACACAGGTACACAGAGACGTGGTACAAGTACACACATCCTTTACTCAAGTAGAAGTACAGATACTCGTGTTTAAAAATACTCTGGTGAAAGTAGAAGTACTGACTAAACTTCTTTACTCAAGTGAAAGTAAAGAGGCTTTGAAATGTACTTCAGTAAAAAGTACCCATAACTAGCAGCTGCTTTAAAGAGTACCTGACCTCCCTTTATATTAATAGAACAATAATGTCATTGTTAGCTAATGAATGTTTCCATGCTGAACAACGGCAACATGACAACGTTTCCATTGGTCCCTCTTCTTTAGAGAAGACCAGGAAATGATGGATACACGGATCGTGTTCAAATCAATAGGCACGCAATGACTCTAAAGAATAATGATCACGCATCAAACACACATTCAGACTAAAGGAACCAGCTGTTTGGAAAATGAGAGAAGTAGAAAGTACAAGTATTTGAGTTCAACATGTAGGAAGTAGAAAGTACAGGTATTTGGGTTCAACATGTAAGAAGTAGAAAGTACAGGTATTTGAGTTCAACATGTAAGAAGTAGAAAGTACAGGTATTTGAGTTCAACATGTAAGAAGCAGAAAGTACAGGTATTTGTGTTCAACATGAGAGAAGTAGAAAGTACAGGTATTTGAGTTCAACATGTAAGAAGTAGAAAGTACAGGTATTTGAGTTCAACATGAGAGAAGTAGAAAGTACAGGTATTTGAGTTCAACATGTAAGAAGCAGAAAGTACAGGTATTTGTGTTCAACATGTAAGAAGTAGAAAGTACAGGTATTTGAGTTCAACATGTGAGAAGTAGAAAGTACAGGTATTTGAGTTCAACATGTAAGAAGCAGAAAGTACAGGTATTTGTGTTCAACATGTAAGAAGTAGAAAGTACAGGTATTTGAGTTCAACATGTAAGAAGTAGAAAGTACAGGTATTTCAGTTCAACATGTAAGAAGTAGAAAGTACAGGTATTTGAGTTCAACATGTAAGAAGCAGAAAGTACAGGTATTTGAGTTCAACATGTAAGAAGTAGAAAGTACAGGTATTTGAGTTCAACATGTAAGAAGTAGAAAGTACAGGTATTTGAGTTCAACATGAGAGAAGTAGAAAGTACAGGTATTTGAGTTCAACATGTGAGAAGTAGAAAGTACAGGTATTTGAGTTCAACATGTAAGAAGTAGAAAGTACAGGTATTTGAGTTCAACATGTGAGAAGTAGAAAGTACAGGTATTTGTGTTCAACATGTAAGAAGTAGAAAGTACAGGTATTTGAGTTCAACATGTGAGAAGTAGAAAGTACAGGTATTTGTGTTCAACATGTAAGAAGTAGAAAGTACAGGTATTTGTGTTCAACATGTAAGAAGTAGAAAGTACAGGTATTTGAGTTCAACATGTGAGAAGTAGAAAGTACAGGTATTTGTGTTCAACATGTAAGAAGTAGAAAGTACAGGTATTTGAGTTCAACATGTGAGAAGTAGAAAGTACAGGTATTTGTGTTCAACATGTAAGAAGTAGAAAGTACAGGTATTTGTGTTCAACATGTAAGAAGTAGAAAGTACAGGTATTTGAGTTCAACATGTGAGAAGTAGAAAGTACAGGTATTTGTGTTCAACATGTAAGAAGTAGAAAGTACAGGTATTTGAGTTCAACATGTGAGAAGTAGAAAGTACAGGTATTTGAGTTCAACATGTGAGAAGTAGAAAGTACAGGTATTTGAGTTCAACATGTGAGAAGTAGAAAGTACAGGTATTTGAGTTCAACATGTAAGAAGTAGAAAGTACAGGTATTTGGGTTCAACATGTAAGAAGTAGAAAGTACAGGTATTTGAGTTCAACATGTAAGAAGTAGAAAGTACAGGTATTTGAGTTCAACATGTAGGAAGTAGAAAGTACAGGTATTTGAGTTCAACATGTAAGAAGTAGAAAGTACAGGTATTTGTGTTCAACATGTAAGAAGTAGAAAGTACAGGTATTTGAGTTCAACATGTAAGAAGTAGAAAGTACAGGTATTTGAGTTCAACATGTAAGAAGCAGAAAGTACAGGTATTTGAGTTCAACATGTAAGAAGCAGAAAGTACAGGTATTTGAGTTCAACATGTAAGAAGTAGAAAGTACAGGTATTTGAGTTCAACATGTAAGAAGTAGAAAGTACAGGTATTTGAGTTCAACATGTAAGAAGTAGAAAGTACAGGTATTTGAGTTCAACATGAGAGAAGTAGAAAGTACAGGTATTTGAGTTCAACATGTGAGAAGTAGAAAGTACAGGTATTTGAGTTCAACATGTAAGAAGTAGAAAGTACAGGTATTTGAGTTCAACATGTGAGAAGTAGAAAGTACAGGTATTTGTGTTCAACATGTAAGAAGTAGAAAGTACAGGTATTTGAGTTCAACATGTGAGAAGTAGAAAGTACAGGTATTTGTGTTCAACATGTAAGAAGTAGAAAGTACAGGTATTTGTGTTCAACATGTAAGAAGTAGAAAGTACAGGTATTTGAGTTCAACATGTAAGAAGTAGAAAGTACAGGTATTTCAGTTCAACATGTAAGAAGTAGAAAGTACAGGTATTTGAGTTCAACATGTAAGAAGCAGAAAGTACAGGTATTTGAGTTCAACATGTAAGAAGTAGAAAGTACAGGTATTTGAGTTCAACATGTAAGAAGTAGAAAGTACAGGTATTTGAGTTCAACATGAGAGAAGTAGAAAGTACAGGTATTTGAGTTCAACATGTGAGAAGTAGAAAGTACAGGTATTTGAGTTCAACATGTAAGAAGTAGAAAGTACAGGTATTTGAGTTCAACATGTGAGAAGTAGAAAGTACAGGTATTTGTGTTCAACATGTAAGAAGTAGAAAGTACAGGTATTTGAGTTCAACATGTGAGAAGTAGAAAGTACAGGTATTTGTGTTCAACATGTAAGAAGTAGAAGTACAGGTATTTGTGTTCAACATGTAAGAAGTAGAAAGTACAGGTATTTGAGTTCAACATGTGAGAAGTAGAAAGTACAGGTATTTGTGTTCAACATGTAAGAAGTAGAAAGTACAGGTATTTGAGTTCAACATGTGAGAAGTAGAAAGTACAGGTATTTGTGTTCAACATGTAAGAAGTAGAAAGTACAGGTATTTGTGTTCAACATGTAAGAAGTAGAAAGTACAGGTATTTGAGTTCAACATGTGAGAAGTAGAAAGTACAGGTATTTGTGTTCAACATGTAAGAAGTAGAAAGTACAGGTATTTGAGTTCAACATGTGAGAAGTAGAAAGTACAGGTATTTGTGTTCAACGTGTAAGAAGTAGAAAGTACAGGTATTTGTGTTCAACGTGTAAGAAGTAGAAAGTACAGGTATTTGGGTTCAACATGTAAGAAGTAGAAAGTACAGGTATTTGTGTTCAACATGTAAGAAGTAGAAAGTACAGGTATTTGAGTTCAACATGTAAGAAGTAGAAAGTACAGGTATTTGAGTTCAACATGTGAGAAGTAGAAAGTACAGGTATTTGTGTTCAACATGTAAGAAGTAGAAAGTACAGGTATTAGTGTTCAACATGTAAGAAGTAGAAAGTACAGGTATTTGAGTTCAACATGTGAGAAGTAGAAAGTACAGGTATTTGTGTTCAACATGTAAGAAGTAGAAAGTACAGGTATTTGAGTTCAACATGTGAGAAGTAGAAAGTACAGGTATTTGTGTTCAACATGTAAGAAGTAGAAAGTACAGGTATTTGTGTTCAAAATGTAAGAAGTAGAAAGTACAGGTATTTGAGTTCAACATGTAAGAAGTAGAAAGTACAGGTATTTGAGTTCAACATGTGAGAAGTAGAAAGTACAGGTATTTGAGTTCAACATGTAAGAAGTAGAAAGTACAGGTATTTGAGTTCAACATGTGAGAAGTAGAAAGTACAGGTATTTGAGTTCAACATGTGAGAAGTAGAAAGTACAGGTATTTGAGTTCAACATGGAAGAAGTAGAAAGTACAGGTATTTGAGTTCAACATGTAAGAAGTAGAAAGTACAGGTATTTGAGTTCAACATGTGAGAAGTAGAAAGTACAGGTATTTGAGTTCAACATGTAAGAAGTAGAAAGTACAGGTATTTGAGTTCAACATGTAAGAAGTAGAAAGTACAGGTATTTGAGTTCAACATGTAAGAAGTAGAAAGTACAGGTATTTGAGTTCAACATGTGAGAAGTAGAAAGTACAGGTATTTGAGTTCAACATGTAAGAAGTAGAAAGTACAGGTATTTGAGTTCAACATGTAAGAAGTAGAAAGTACAGGTATTTGTGTTCAACATGTAAGAAGTAGAAAGTACAGGTATTTGAGTTCAACATGTGAGAAGTAGAAAGTACAGGTATTTGAGTTCAACATGTAAGAAGTAGAAAGTACAGGTATTTGAGTTCAACATGTGAGAAGTAGAAAGTACAGGTATTTGAGTTCAACATGTAAGAAGTAGAAAGTACAGGTATTTGAGTTCAACATGTAAGAAGTAGAAAGTACAGGTATTTGGGTTCAACATGTGAGAAGTAGAAAGTACAGGTATTTGTGTTCAACATGTAAGAAGTAGAAAGTACAGGTATTTGTGTTCAACATGTAAGAAGTAGAAAGTACAGGTATTTGTGTTCAACATGTGAGAAGTAGAAAGTACAGGTATTTGTGTTCAAAGTGTAAGAAGTAGAAAGTACAGGTATTTGTGTTCAACATGTGAGAAGTAGAAAGTACAGGTATTTGTGTTCAACATGTAAGAAGTAGAAAGTACAGATATTTGAGTGCAACATGAGAGAAGTAGAAAGTACAGGTATTTGAGTTCAACATGTAAGAAGTAGAAAGTACAGGTATTTGTGTTCAACATGTAAGAAGTAGAAAGTACAGGTATTTGAGTGCAACATGAGAGAAGTAGAAAGTACAGGTATTTGTGTTCAACATGTAAGAAGTAGAAAGTACAGGTATTTGTGTTCAACATGTGAGAAGTAGAAAGTACAGGTATTTGTGTTCAACATGTAAGAAGTAGAAAGTACAGGTATTTGAGTTCAACATGTGAGAAGTAGAAAGTACAGGTATTTGTGTTCAACATGTAAGAAGTAGAAAGTACAGGTATTTGAGTTCAACATGTGAGAAGTAGAAAGTACAGGTATTTGTGTTCAACATGTAAGAAGTAGAAAGTACAGGTATTTGAGTTCAACATGTAAGAAGTAGAAAGTACAGGTATTTGAGTTCAACATGTAAGAAGTAGAAAGTACAGGTATTTGAGTTCAACATGTAAGAAGTAGAAAGTACAGGTATTTGAGTTCAACATGTGAGAAGTAGAAAGTACAGGTATTTGAGTTCAACATGTAAGAAGTAGAAAGTACAGGTATTTGAGTTCAACATGAGAGAAGTAGAAAGTACAGGTATTTGAGTTCAACATGTAAGAAGTAGAAAGTACAGGTATTTGAGTTCAACATGTAAGAAGTAGAAAGTACAGGTATTTGACTTCAACATGTGAGAAGTAGAAAGTACAGGTATTTGAGTTCAACATGTGAGAAGTAGAAAGTACAGGTATTTGAGTTCAACATGTAAGAAGTAGAAAGTACAGGTATTTGAGTTCAACATGTAAGAAGTAGAAAGTACAGGTATTTGAGTTCAACATGTAAGAAGTAGAAAGTACAGGTATTTGAGTTCAACATGTAAGAAGTAGAAAGTACAGGTATTTGAGTTCAACATGTAAGAAGTAGAAAGTACAGGTATTTGTGTTCAACATGTAAGAAGTAGAAAGTACAGGTATCTGTGTTCAACATGTAAGAAGTCAAAGTCATCAGAATAATAAGTAGTGGAGTAAAGTACTGATACCAGAAAAATGTACTTAACTACAGTAACAAAGTATTTGTACTCCACTACTTCCCACCTCTGCAGGAAACCCAGAAATACGTACCTGGGGAATAATAAATAATAACTGGTATTCGTGACTGATTTTATATATTTTCTATATATATATTAAATATATAAAAATATTATTTTTTCGTATTCTGGATTGTGGGAGACGGTATTTCGATCTCTCTGTACACACAAACTGAAAGATTGACAATACAGTTGACTTTGACTTTTGATTTTGCAATTGATCCATTAAAATATTAATTTAAATGTGATCTCATCTGCAGGCAGTTTCAAATCAGAAACCAAATCCAGGCTCCAGTATCAGGTGAGAGGAGTGCTTTACTTTCCTTAAAGGTCTCCTATCATCCTCCTCTTCATCAATATATCACAGGTCTCAGATATATCCAGAGCCGGTCTCTGATTGGCTGAAACACCAAACAGATCATTGCAGCATTACCCATAATCCCCTCTGTTTCAGCCCTGTTTCCAAAGTGCTGATTCTCTGTCTGTTACTTTAGATGAAAATAAGGAGCCCCTCCCCACGCCCCTCTGAGAGAGATTTGGTTACAAAGAACACATTAGGCGCTTTCACACCAAGTCCTTTGCCGTACTTAGTTCATGAGAACTCTTTAGTTCTCATGAACTAAGTACAGATCGCGTTCACACCGGAATAAGTCCCTGAGGAAGGATTAGGCAAATGAAGCCGCTGACGTCACTTCTTCTTCTGCTTTGGGTTTACTGGCAGGCCGCAAACAACTTCCCCGGCCGGAAGTCCCCGGAGTTGGGGACTGGCTTCAGTAGAAGCTGCTGGGACTCCCAGCAGCTAGTTCCGGATTTCTTTGTAGTGAACGCACATTTTCGGAACTATACTGGGAAAAGTACTCTGGTGTGAAAGCGCCTAATGGTGCTCTAGGAGGAGATTCAGGTGATAAGGTGGGGGGTTGGCTAATGGTTACACAAGACAAAACATCGTTATGACAGAGGGGACACATGTTGATGTAGAAAAGACATGAAGAAGTGGATTTTGCATAATAGGAGACCTTTAATTACTTCATTGTTCTACAGTGGATTTATCATATCCGCCTTTAACTGTTTTAATTCCATGTTTTTGTTGTAAAGCAGCAAGTCGTACACCATTGCAAAACTCCAACCTGACAAACCAGATGTCCTCTCAACGAGAACCTGCTGCTCAGTACAAGGTGTGTGACTTTCAATATTATCCTTAACAATTTAACACACTTTATTACACTCTATTCCGATTGGTCGATTGGTTCATTTCAGAGCTCTATATGACAGTAGTGCAGTATTTTCTTATTGGAAGCAACACGATCATTTTCAAGTCCATAAAATCATTTGAATCAACATTGGGAGTCGAGTCTTTAGTTTGTTTAGTATGTGGTCGCGTGATAAGAGGGATAACTTGCAGCGAGGCGGCATTACTTTTTTGCAACTCATATATATCAATATTCCAAATACTTTATATAGACTATTCTGCACTGTTTCAATTATATTCTATTTTATTTAATTTACCTGTACTATTTATCTGTTGTATTGTGTTCTGTTGGAGGAGCCTTTGACCTAAGAATGGCATTGATATACACTAGGGGTGTAACGGTTCACAAACATTTCGGTTCGGTACGTACCTCGGTTTTTTGGTCACGGTTCGGTTCGGTACGTTTTCGGTACAGCAGAATTTTTTTTCACAAAACAAAACATATATATATATATATTTTTTTATTATTATTAAACTGTGAATAATGTATTCACTCAAATAAATACAAAATATAATAAAATAAACATTAAGGTGCAGCATTTCGATGAACTGAAATAATCTGTATTTGAACTTTACTGTAGGCTACTAGTACTCACAAAACATAAACTATTAGTTTTGGGTTTTTTATTTTTTATTAAACTGAATATTCACTCAAAAAAATACAAAATAAAATAACATTAAGGTGCAGCATTTCGATGAACTGAAATAATCTGTATTTGAACTTTACTGTACTGTTCCTAAGCAGCCAGCTTGACATTATGACTTGCTTGTCATTGTATTTTCATGTTTTTTTAAAGAAAGATTAACTTGTCCACATTGCTTGCTGAAAGGGCAGATCTGCTGGCACTAACAATGTCTCCTGCTGTGGAGAACACCCTCTCTAGGGACAGAGGTAGCAGATACAGCCAGGTAGCGCTTTGCTAACATGGCAACATAAGGATATTTGGCGTTTGTAATAGCTTTGGCTCGGTCTGAACTCTTTGCGAGTGGTGGAGGCTTACATGCTAGCGGGAGTTGGGTTTGCACTTCAGTCTTTTTTCTTTTGGTACCGGTGATATTCACGTTCGGGTGATGCCTTTTCAAGAGTGTGCAAGTTTGATGTATTGCCAGCCGCGTAACCAATTTTAGTTGAACAATGCCGACAAACAGCTTTGGTTCGGTCCACCTGTCTTTGTTCTTCATCCTTGTACGTAACTGCGAAACCAAAATGTTCCCAAACCGGAGACTTCAATGATGCTGGAGGATTTTCGAGCTCAACTTTATCTGCGTTCGCCATTAATTTTCGACAGTTCCTCAAATTACTGACTAAATTTGAACGCATCCCTCTGACCAGCTCTCATAGTATGCCTCTCATCCAATGAAATGACTTGCTCGCTCTATGACACGTTGAACCCAATGTGAGCAAATTACTCTGAATGCTGCGACGCAGCACCTGAGATTACTTCCAAAAAGTTGTTCACGTTCTCAATTTTTTTACGTCTAACGTTATATTCGTTCGGTACACTTCGGTACACACCTGTACCGAACCGAAGGGCCCGTACCGAATAATTTCGGTACGGGTACGTGTACCGTTACACCCCTAATATACACTGACAATAAAAGACTTGAATCCTTGACATTTTACTGAAAAAAGATCCTGACACGACTATTTTTTTGTACAGGACACAAACATGGACATAACAATAACATGTAGGAGATGACATTCCCATCTCAGACAACAACAGAAGAAAAACAGATACAGTCATTAGGATCACTTCAACATTTCACAAACAAAAACACAACAGGTCGAGCATATCTATTGTTCCTTTAATCCCACTCTCCGTTAGAGCTGATTATTTCCCATTTCATGGCGTTTTGAGCTACTACTAATCTACTCTACAAAACACCTTAAATTAAGATTACTCCTTGATTGACTTTTAAAAATATATATTTTAGCCAGAAGAATAGTTGTATTTATTGTGCGGTCTTCATCTAAAAGCCCAAATAAAATATTAAAGGGTGTAAATGTAAATTCAATATTTGCCGCCAAATAATTTGCAAAACCTTACGATTTGTGTGGAAACATTTTCATTATTAAGTTTTTTTTTTTTGGAACCTCTTTTCCTTTCTCGATCCTCCTTATTAACGGTCATTACAGTCCTTAGCAACGGTCGTAACAGTCCTTAGCAACGGTCATTACAGTCCTTAGCAACAGTCGTTACAGTGTCATTACAGTCCTTAGCAACGGTCTTTACAGTCCTTAGCAACGGTCGTTACAGTCCTTAACAACGGTCGTTACAGTCCTTAACAACGGTCATTACAGTCCTTATCAACGGTCATTACAGTCCTTATCAACGGTTATTACAGTCCTTATCAACGGTTATTACAGTCCTTATCAACGGTCATTACAGTCCTTATCAACGGTCATTACAGTCCTTAGCAACGGTCATTACAGTGTCATTACAGTCCTTATCAACGGTCATTACAGTCCTTATCAACGGTCATTACAGTCCTTAGCAACGGTCATTACAGTGTCATTACAGTCCTTAGCAACGGTCTTTACAGTCCTTAGCAACGGTCGTTACAGTCCTTAACAACGGTCGTTACAGTCCTTATCAACGGTTATTACAGTCCTTATCAACGGTCATTACAGTCCTTAGCAACGGTCATTACAGTGTCATTACAGTCCTTAGCAACGGTCTTTACAGTCCTTAGCAACGGTCATTACAGTGTCATTACAGTCCTTAGCAACGGTCTTTACAGTGCTTATCAACGGTCATTACAGTCCTTAGCAACGGTCATTACAGTCCTTAGCAACGGTCATTACAGTCCTTATCAACGGTCATTACAGTCCTAGCAACGGTCTATTCTACTGGATTAACAATGTGTCACATGTTCTGAATCGACCAGAACTTTATTTAGCGTCCGTATTGTTATGTATGTATATGTTGTTGATAGTTGAATGTGGGCCGCTGATTAAGAGTATTCTTAAGTGGGCCCTGAGTTGAAAAGGTGGGGAACCACTGCTCTAATGGTAATGATCTGATTC